AGGACCCATGTCTAGGCTGCGAGAAGCGGGGTGGGGGGGGCTCATTAGGGGCCTCAGAGGAAGGGGCTTGGGCTCAGCAGGGGGCGCTGGGCTGCCGGGAGCAGGATGGGGGCCCAGCAGGGGGCGCTGGGCTGGGAGTAATGGGTCAAGATGGGGGTCAGCGGGTGAGAGACCCCTGAGTAAACAATCACCTGCCTCCACCCGAGAGGCAGCTGTACCCCACCGCTGGATTAGGGCTGCCAGGCTAGGGAAGGGATGGGCACCTGTGGGTATTTATCAAGCTCCTGAAAATGCACAGGCACTCATGGGGAATCTCCCTGTTTCAAGGCCACTTTTCTGGAGCTGGGCTGAAGCGGGAGCCATCAGGCACGGATCCCCAGTCTCTCCCAGCTGGCCAGTCACCACTGGCACCAGACCCAACAGCATCTGAGAATCCAGCTGCTGCTGAGAGCTTCAGGGAACCTGGGCCGGTAATGGGAAATGTGTGAGCCAGAGCGAGTCACAGCCATACGTGCAGCCACGTGAGAGTGAGGAGCACTGGGGAGGCGGGGGGAGCCCAGGGCTGGGCTGTCAGGGGCTGCGGGTTGGGAATGGGGGGCACCAGCAGGGCTGGGGGGACTGAACTCTGCTGTCCCCCTGCAGGATCATTCAATCTCCACCCGGACACTCTCCCATCCCTCCTTCTACTCGTACTATGAGGCTCTTTCTCGCTCTACACCAGGGACCTGTCCAGTGCCTGATGGGGATTGGCCCCACAGCTCTGGCCAGCAGTGGTGTCCAGCCACTGGATCAGGTAGGAGGCCAAGTGGGATGCATGGTGGGGAGGAAATCTCCCTCTCTCTGGCTAATTCAGGCCTGAGCCCTATGGGGAAGGACAACGGTCAGTGAGGGATGGGGAGGCATCCTAACCCTACCCATGATCTCATCTCCCCCCCATCCTCCCCCACTCCAGGTCTCCTGCTTCCCATTAGTTCCAGTGAATTCTTCTACACGGATCCTCTGATGCCCCCAGGACACCGGATCCACAGCAACCTCTCTGCTCCCTCCCAAGAGGTAAAGTGCCCCAAGGATGGCCAGGCTTCAGCAGAAGGGCCCCCTCCTGTCAGCATTGGCCAGAAATAGCAGTTGCGTCTCTAACGGCCCCAATAATATCATGTGCTAGGCAGTTCTGCAGGTTACCGCTGAATGCGATCCTGCTCCAGGGTGCAAGCCCAATCATGGGAGGAGGTTGGGACTTCCGCTGCATCAATGATGCAATCACTCAGTGCGCCATGCAGCTCCCCGGCTCCCCTCAGTCACTGTGTGCGCCGTGCAGCTCCCCGGCTCCCCTCAGTCACTGTGTGCGCCGTGCAGCTCCCCGGCTCCCCTCAGTCACTGTGTGCGCCGTGCAGCTCCCCGGCTCCCCTCAGTCACTGTGTGCGCCGTGCAGCTCCCCGGCTCCCCTCAGTCACTGTGTGCGCCGTGCAGCTCCCCGGCTCCCCTCAGTCACTGTGTGCGCCGTGCAGCTCCCCGGCTCCCCTCAGTCACTGTGTGCGCCGTGCAGCTCCCCGGCTCCCCTCAGTCACTGTGTGCGCCGTGCAGCTCCCCGGCTCCCCTCAGTCACTGTGTGCGCCGTGCAGCTCCCCGGCTCCCCTCAGTCACTGTGTGCGCCGTGCAGCTCCCCGGCTCCCCTCAGTCACTGTGTGCGCCGTGCAGCTCCCCGGCTCCCCTCAGTCACTGTGTGCGCCGTGCAGCTCCCCGGCTCCCCTCAGTCACTGTGTGCGCCGTGCAGCTCCCCGGCTCCCCTCAGTCACTGTGTGCGCCGTGCAGCTCCCCGGCTCCCCTCAGTCACTGTGTGCGCCGTGCAGCTCCCCGGCTCCCCTCAGTCACTGTGTGCGCCGTGCAGCTCCCCGGCTCCCCTCAGTCACTGTGTGCGCCGTGCAGCTCCCCGGCTCCCCTCAGTCACTGTGTGCGCCGTGCAGCTCCCCGGCTCCCCTCAGTCACTGTGTGCGCCGTGCAGCTCCCCGGCTCCCCTCAGTCACTGTGTGCGCCGTGCAGCTCCCCGGCTCCCCTCAGTCACTGTGTGCGCCGTGCAGCTCCCCGGCTCCCCTCAGTCACTGTGTGCGCCGTGCAGCTCCCCGGCTCCCCTCAGTCACTGTGTGCGCCGTGCAGCTCCCCGGCTCCCCTCAGTCACTGTGTGCGCCGTGCAGCTCCCCGGCTCCCCTCAGTCACTGTGTGCGCCGTGCAGCTCCCCGGCTCCCCTCAGTCACTGTGTGCGCCGTGCAGCTCCCCGGCTCCCCTCAGTCACTGTGTGCGCCGTGCAGCTCCCCGGCTCCCCTCAGTCACTGTGTGCGCCGTGCAGCTCCCCGGCTCCCCTCAGTCACTGTGTGCGCCGTGCAGCTCCCCGGCTCCCCTCAGTCACTGTGTGCGCCGTGCAGCTCCCCGGCTCCCCTCAGTCACTGTGTGCGCCGTGCAGCTCCCCGGCTCCCCTCAGTCACTGTGTGCGCCGTGCAGCTCCCCGGCTCCCCTCAGTCACTGTGTGCGCCGTGCAGCTCCCCGGCTCCCCTCAGTCACTGTGTGCGCCGTGCAGCTCCCCGGCTCCCCTCAGTTACTGTGTGCGCCATGCAGCTCCCCGGCTACCCTCAGTTACTGTGCACTATGTAGCTCCTCTGCTATACCTCAGGCTTGCAGGTAAACTCCCCAAAATATCTTTTGTCAGGGATTTCAGCAGATAACTTGCCCCTTTTTCTGGTACTTAATGTACCTCTTGTTCGTTCCTTCCAGGTCTGTCAGCGGCTGCGTCTCAACTCTCCAGGCTCTATCATGTCGGTGCGTGAGGCCTCTCCTCCTCCCCAGCCCCTTCCTCCCTTTGTGCCCCGCAGTGGCAGGAGGTGGCTCTCAGAGGCAGAGTACAACGCGGTCACTGTCCTCCTGGAGCTCCCATGTGAGGAGAGCTCCCCTGGGACCCAGCTCCTCCTGGCAGCCGTGGAACTGGAGTATGGCCGGTTGGTGACTCCGGAGGCCACCAGTGCCCTGCTCGGCCTTCACAGCTCCTCAGAGCCATGGCAGAAGCTCCCAGAGAGGCTCTGACCCCCCAGCACTTTCCCATAGGCTTGGGTCTGTCATGCCAAGGGTCCTTTCTCCCACGGGGCTGCAGGACAGTAGCACTTAGATGCTTACACTCCTTTTCTCCAGTGATGGGCAGTTCCAAAGGTCAGTGCTGCCAATAAACGCAGCAGGGAGTCCCAAAGGCCAACCCTCCTTGTAATCTGCCTCAAGTGCATTTTACATGTGTTTTACCCAAGCCACATCATGGAGCAGGAAGTTCCTCTGACCAAGTCCTGATTGCCTCCTCGGGGAGTTTCCTGCAGGCTACAAGGCTGCCTAATATTCTGTGGGCAGGAGTTCTGCAGGTTACCCCACCTATTTGTTTGTCCAATGCTCTGTCCAGGTTTTACATCCCAGTCAAATATCATGTAAGAGGGAACTTCCCAAGCTATGACTGCCAAGACTAAGTGGCAGAAACCACCAGCCTGATTTTGGAAGTGTGTTGTGGGTTAATCCAGTCATATATCCTTTGGCAGGGAGTCCCACAGGTTACTTCTCAATTACCTATCTCAGGAACTAAATCCCTGAGGGTATGTCTACACTAGCCCCCTAGTACCTCCTGGTTTAACAGGCAGTTCATTTTAAGGCTTTAATTTGAAAAACCGGGTCCATGCTGCTTGTAGACGCGGGTAGTTAGTCCGGACTTGTAAATTTCAAAAAGTGGTGACCGGCCGGGAAGATGCACATCAAGCACAGGATATTTAAATCCCGGGCTTGAGTTGCAACTTCAAATGCCTACATTAGCCTCCTTAGTTTGAACTAGGGGGCTAGTGTAGACATACCCCGATATAGTATCTTTGGATATTTCAGTTAAACTCTGTCATCCTGAAGCAGGAAATCCTGCTGGTTCACCACACTATGGCTGTGTCTACATTGGCACCCCTTTCCGGAAAAGGGATGCTAATGAGACCAGTCGGAATTGCAAATTCCGCGGGGGATTTAAATATCCCCCGCTGCATTTGCATAAACATGGCTGCCGTTTTTTTCCGGCTCCGGGTTTTGCCGGAGAAAAGCGCCAGTCTAGACGCGATTTTCCGGAAAATAAGCCCTTTTCCGGAAGATCCCTTATTCCTACTCTCAAGTAGGAATAAGGGATCTTCCGGAAAAGGGTTTATTTTCCGGAAAATCATGTCTAGACTGGCGCTTTTCTCCGGCAAAACCCCAAGCCGGAAAAAAGCAGCAGCCATGTAAATGCAAATGCCGCAGGGGATATTTAAATCCCCCGTGGAATTTGCATTTCCGACTGGTCTCATTAGCATCCCTTTTCCGGAAAGGGGTGCCAATGTAGACACAGCCTATGGGTTAAACCTTTGCAGCATCCTGTGGCGGAGAGTTCCATGGGTAAACCCAGTTTACAATCTGGCAAAGGTCTTATTACCCTGTGGTAGGTCATTCTGCAGGTTGACCTCAGCAACGCACCCCCTGATTGTCACTTACCATGTGTGGAAGAACCTAATTTGATTATGTGTAAGGGGACAATTTTGTGCCTCTTTGTGGTAGAACCGTGTTGTCACATGGAGTTATCTGTAACTTTTTCTATTCTGATTCTTCAGTATTAATATGCGAGAGTTCCAGAGGAATGTAAAACCTTGTTTGTGAGTTAAAAAACAATGTGCTGTGTCTTTAAATCCAGTTCAGATCTCGCCCCAGGTTGGGGAACTGGGTGCCTCAGGTGGATAGAGAACGGACACAGGGACTTTGGCTTCTAGGGGCATGGTCTAGGTGCTGGCTACCTCAGGAAGCTCTAGCCCTGTTAGCAACCTCTCCTCACTGCTGCTCTGGATCCAGCCAGTTGGCCCATCCAGCTAGTGTCACAATCCCCAATCCTGGGGGTGGGGGAAATTCAGTACTTTCTTCCTGACCCCTGTGGTGGATCCAAATCCCCTTTCCAGCAGCAAGGACTCGGACAAAGCTCCAGCTCCCAAGGCTCTTTATTGCAGTCAGTCCAGAAAGGGGGCCCCATCCAGCTGGCTCCCATCTCGGGGTCCTGGTGGTCACAGGGGTCCTTGACAACACTGGGCGGGTCTCCGTGTCTCCAGGCACTGAAGTTTCCTCCCCAACTTCTCCATCACAGCGTCCAGCAGGTGCACGACATCAGCCAGCGCAGCCGCACCGGAGTCCGGGGCTCTGTGTCCATCTGTCTGGGGTTTGACCTGGGGCTGGAGAGGAGACAAAAATGTGGGGAGATGGGGCTGTGGATCCTCTGCAGCCTCCCAGTCCCTGGGACTGAAACTGAGGGCAGGAGATGCACTAACCCCAGCAGCAACCAGGCTGAGCCCTGTCCAATGCCAGTACGAGCATATGGTGGGGAGTCCCACTGGTTAACCCCAAAACAGCAGATAATGGGGAGTTTGCATTACCATGGTGCCAACCATGTCATGCCATTCCCTTTGCCCATGAGCACTAAACTCCCCACTTCTCAGCATGCCACGGGTATGTATGCTAGGCTTGCCCTGAGGGACTCCCAGGTATTAACTCCCTTTAGAAGCCAGTAGCACGTAGGGATGTAACCCGTTAACAGGCAGCTGCTCCAGCCCAGCCAGGCCCCCCACCTGCAGGATCCCACTTAACCAGGTAAATCCAATATTTAACCAGTTAACTGGTTTAACCAGGATTGTACATCCTTAGTAGCAGATGTCACCAAATATATCACACACCAGGACCTCCATTTAGCCATACTAAAAGTCCAGTGGATGGGGAGTTTCACAGGTTAACCACACCACTACATCTCTGCAGGTAGTCCCACAGGTTAACTCCACTAATTACCAAGTGGCAAGCAGTCCTGTAGGGGAAACCCTCTAATGGCAGGGAGTCCCACAAGTGAACCCTGCTATTGACCAAGTTTAAGATCTAGCAGGTCTCAAAGGCAAGTCTCCTGACACCTCCATGCTGCCACCAATGGCAGCTGTAACCAGATCTTGCTCCACTGCCCATGACTTGCTATGGATGCAGAACAAGGGAAATCCTGCCTCAGGGGGTCTGGCAGGCTCCTGATTGGCTCCCCATCCTATATAAGCCCACAGAGGTTCCAGAAAGGGTGCAATGAATAGTATGGTCTGCTGCAGCTACCATAGCCTGCTCCTGATCTCCTGGCTTTGCCCTTGTTATATGACCTGGACCTTAAAACCTGACTTGAACTCTGACCTTTGGTATTGACCCCAGCCTGAAACCTGCCTATGACTCAACTGCTACTCCCAGCCTCAAGTTGGACACTGCTGCCCTTGTGTGGATGCTAACACCAAGAGGCAGGGAGTCCCACAGGTTAACCATCCTATCCAACCACTGGCAGGGAGTCTTGCAGGTTAACCCTGCTAATATTCCAGTGACAGGGAGTCCCACAGAGAACCACCCCCACACATAATGCAGTGGCAGAGAGTCCCACACTGTACACTCCATTAAACAATCTAGTGGGAGGAGTCACAGGGGCTCACCCATCTACACTCAGTCCCTGACTTACTTCCTCAGGGGAGTAGCCCCTCTCGGTCAGCAGGATTGTGATGGCCAGTGCACCTAAGATCAGAGTGAGGACCAGAGGCCAATAAGCTAACCCTGGCCAGCCCAGGGCCCCTGTTGCTATGTCCAGGGGTGGCTGGGATTGCAGGGGCATTTCCCCTGGGCCTGGCTCCATCCCCACTTGGTACCACATAGGACGCTGCCCGTGGGTCCTGCCCCACAGACCCCAGCACTGGCTGCTAAACTGCTCTTGGCCCATGGCTCAGCCCCACACCCCAGACCACGTCCTGACGTATCAGTTCCAAACCAGCTTCTGGAACTGCCTGTTGCTCAGTGATATGCAAATAGCAGCGACCGCAATGGCAAAGGGGGTGGGGCTGGAGTGATGGGCACCGGCAGGGCTGGGGGAGCCCAGAGCTGGACTGGCAGGGGCTGTGGGTCAGGGGTGAGGGGCCCTGGCAGGGGCTGTGAGTCAAGAGTGAGGGGCAATTATCAAATGATCCATCCCCTGTTCCCTATTCGCAGCATCTGGCAAACAGAAGCTAGGGACGTCCTGTCACGTTATTGGATTTTAAAGTGAGCAGACAGATCACTGTTGCACCCACGGGTGGTGTTTGCCCCAAATTCTGTGTGTGATGAGGCGTTGGGGAGCCCCCGACCCTGCACCCCCATCCACAGCCAGATGTGACTCTCAATCAGCCAGTAGAGTAGAAGGTTGTATTGGTTCTCAGGGCAAAGGAGATGATAGCAGGATACACTGAGAGCCGACAGCCTTATCCCTCCACAGGGTAGGAGTTCAAGGACCCCAGAACTCCCTGTCCAGGCTTTCGTCTGCCTTCCTCATCTTCCTCCCCCAGACTGCCCCTTCTCCCAGCCACCCATCATTCACTCCCCCCAAGCAGCCATACCCCTTGCATTGTTCAAACGCCTTCCCCTGGCCAGGTGAGAAGCTGCTTGGTCATTGACTACCTGTCTTGGCTCAGGAGTCCCCCATCCACCGCTGGGCCCTGCACAGACACACACATTCCCAAAGTCCCTGCAGAGCAGCATAGGATCACAAAAGCAGACAGCACCCCCACTACGTCACACTGTACAAAGTGGGCCATGTGAGGTGTCAGATGAAAACTTGTGTCCTACTGATTCTATGTGTGCTGCTCATGTACTTGTCTGATGTTTGTATGTGGAGTTATGAATATGGGCTCTGTTCTTGTATTGTAAATATTCTGTCTGGGTGGGAGCAATGGGCCTGGACCACCTATGGTGAGGAAGGATTGTTCAGTGAGTCTGGCCTGCCAGCTGTGAGGAAGGACGGGTCAGTCCCTGCTGCGGGGACACTGGCTCCCAGGGGCCAACACACACCTGAGGGATGCGTCTGGGAGCCTGCAGACCAGCCAGTGCTTCATGGCTGCTGGTATGTGACACAGATAGGTCACTTGATCATGTGACCAGCTCCAGTTTGGGAGACACCAGGAATATAAAAATCCCATGGGGCTGTCTCCATCTTGTCTTCAATTCTGCTACTGATCTCAGAGGCAGCCTTGCTAGGACAGAGAGCCAGGAAGGATTTGCTGACCTGTCCTGACACAGGATGTGCACCAGAGACTTTTAAGTTAGCAGTTTGTAACATCTCTGCTAAGAGCCTGCATCAAAAATTTGGTGCGAGTGCCCCTCTCATTGACTAATCTAGGAGTCGATTAGCTAATTAATTGAAACTTTGCATCCCTAATTCAAAAATGACTGCAAAGTGTTACAAAGGGATCTCACAAAATTGGGTGAATGGTCAACACAAGGCCAGATAGAATTCACTGTTGATAAGTGCAAAGTAATGCCTATAGGTATGTCTACACTATAGCGTTATTTCAAAATATCTTATCTTGAGATAACGTGTCTAAACACAAAATGCATTTCGAAATAGCTTTTTGCTATTTTGAAATAGCACATCCACACTGAGTGGATGCTGAATTGCATTTAAGGCCAGCTGGAACCAGGTCCGGCAGGGCATCAGGTCAAGAGTTACTTTGTGTGGCTGCTGCCTGAGGCTATCTGAGGTCTGTGCCTAAAGGGACACCCCGCCCCCACCCCCCGGACAGCCGGTTCTCAGCTTTCCCTGCTTGCTTGCCTACCTCGATGAGGGACAGCAAAGCATTTTATCTCTACATGCTCTGATTGCCCTCTCTTGGGACACCACAGCACTCTGCAACATGGGGTCAGAGCTGCCCCGGGCACTCTGGTGCTTCTCGTGGACACGTTGCTGCGAGCCTCGCTGCACTTTCTGCAGGCTGCCATCCGGGAGGTCCATTGGGGGGCTGTCAGTATCCAGGAGGTCCTGCAGGAGAACTTCCACCCTGAGGAGCACTAAGAACCACCCTGGTCTGCCCCACTGGGGCCTTGTGCCTCATTCCTCCCTCACGTCCTTCCACTTACTCCTCCTCACCCCCCCTTCCTGATGTCAAATAAAATACACGTATTTTCATGAACACAAACTCTCTTTATTTAACAGAACTTGGGGGTGGGGGCGGGAATGAAACTCTGGTGAGACTGGGGAAAGGAGGTGGGAGAAGGGAAGAGAGAGGGTGGGAGAGGGAAGGGAGAAACCTGGGAGGGGGGAGCTGGAAGGGGGAAGCAAGGGGAAGAAGGGGGAGGGGAAGCTCAGGGCTCAGGGCTCAGGGCTCAGGGTTGGGGGTCTCGCTGGACCAACTTGATTTTCATGCAGACCTGCTCCTGGGTTCACATGTAGCCTTTGGTGGCCAGGCTGGCAGCTATTCTGCCATACACGGCCACATTCCACCATCTAGTGCGGAGATCATGGAGGTTGGGGGCCTCCCCCCCAAATCTGAATAAGTTCCATGATCTCCACCCTGGACCAGGAAGGTGCCCGCCTTCTCTGGGCCCTGGCAGGCCCCTGGGAGCTGGCAGACTGCTCCTGGGGAGCGGTGGAGGGCTGGCTGCCAGTGGCTTTCTGGCTCATGTTTTGCAGCCACTGGGTTAGGGGCAGTGACTGCTGGCTCTGGGCTGGCAGGCTTGGAGCGGGCACAGGCACTGTGGCCAGAGTCTACCCCTTTAAGGGCTCTGGGGAGGGAAGAGGGAGACGAGTGTTCTTGGATGAGGCTGGAGTGGCCACCAGGGCACCCTGGGAAGGCTGGAGGCCCCCTATTTCAATCTAAGTGTCTACACAGCACTTATTTTGAAATAGCTATTTCGAATTTGGCATTATTCCTCATGGAATGAGGTTTACCAAATTCGAAATAAGCACTCCGCTATTTCAAATTAATTTCGAAATAGCGGTTTGGCTGTGTAGATGCTAGTAAAGTTATTTCAAAATAACAGCTGTTATTTCGAAATAAGTTTGCTGTGTAGACGTACCCTACGGGACAATATAATTCTAACTATACATACAAAGATGGGGTCTAAAATAGCTGTTGCCACTCAAGAAAGATCTTGGGATCCTTGTGGATAGTTCCCTGAAAACATCTCTTCAATGTGCAGTGGCAGGTCTAAAAACTAAAAAGCTAACAGAATATTGGGAATAATTAGAAAAGGAATAGATTCTATAAAGGCAATATATTTTGTCTTAAGTCGTTGTATGCCCACATCTTGAATACTGTATGCAGATCTCGTCACCCCATCTAAAAAAAGATCTATGGGGTTTGGAAATGGTACAGAAAGGGAACAGAAATGATTAGGGGTAAGGATCAGCTTCCATATGAGAAAACGTTAACAAGACTGGGACTTGTTAGTTTAGAAAAGAAATTACTGAAGGGTGGGGGGATATGTTAGAAGTCTAGAAAATCATGTACAGTGTGGAAAAATAGAATCAGGAAATGTTCTTCATTCCTTCACTAACATAACACAAGAAGTAAGGATGTTAAGGACTAATCAATTGTCAACTAGTCGATTTCCTTCCCATTTGGTGTTTGGTTTGTACTGAGCATGCTCACAGGCTTCAGCAGTGTTACTGTCCTCAGTCTGGTCCCCCCCATCATGGCATGCACAGGGTGCTGTCCCCCATCTAACATAGTGCTCCTGTTGGCAGTATGTGAGTCATAGTGTGTTCTGACTTTGCTGGGTATCAGTCCTCTTCCTGCCTGCCTTACCTTGGCCCTGCCCCCAGCAAGAGGGAGGAAAGAGAAGGCTACACTCTTGCAGGGGAGCCCTGCGTTGCTACTGAGCCCAGGACGCAGGGGCACAAGGTAGGGGTGTGGCTGCAGTGCCAGCAGGCAGAGCAGAGACCACCTAGTTGGAAGTAGGTACCCATGAGCAGGAGCCATTCAGCAGCAGGTCTGTGACTGCAGAGGGCTCTGTGCAGTGCTGACACCCTCACCCTGCTGGTGTGACTGGGAGAAGCTCCACTTGTGCAGCCCACACAGCTCCTGGACCACGTGACACTGAGCTCACGCATTTAGCCCGAGGTCCCAGGCTCACTGGGGTCTCTCGTATTACAAGAAATGAACCCTTCTCCCATGGGGAGCCAGCAGCAGCCAGGGCCGGGTTCAACACCGAGGGCTCCTCTCCCTCTGTCCAGCACAGAATTGGCTCGAGCCCCCACCCAGTGGCTGGAGAATTCACATGCCAGCCCTGGGTACCTGGGAGGCAACGCTTCCCCCTTGCAAGCACAGAGTCTGAGCGTAGAAATCAATGGGAGGGAAGTAGTATGGCATTGATGTGGGAAAGCACCCAGACAGGGCTCGTAACCAACCCCCGTGCCACAGGCCCACCCCACACCAGCTGGGCAGTGCCTTTTCTTTGCAGGTTCTTACATCCGCAAGGTAAATGTCCCGTCACATACCCAGCCCTTCTGGTTCCCCGCTCCCAGCAGCTGCCCTTGGTCAGCGCAGCTGCAGAGCTCAGAGTACAGCCGCAGAGTTCCCCTCCCATCCTGGGGGGGCCCTTCCTGGCTCTGCTGCATGGGCACTTGCTCATCGCTGCCACCGGATCTCTCCCCCAGTGGCCCCTCTCCAGCCATTTGTTCACCAGCCAGATGCCAGTCCCCTTCTGCTGCCACCCGCCTCTCTGCTGGGCCCTCTGCACACCAGTCTCTTACTAATTCTCGGCTCTTTGCAGGCTGAGCAGACACAGCCTCACCGCGGTGTTGGCTGAGCGTTCAACATAACGTAAGGGCTCCTAAGGAAGCCTATTAACCTCTCTTTGAAAGGAGGGTGAGGGACATGAGAGAGAAGTTAAATCAATCCAGGGAGAATCCTGAGCAAAGACCCTCACCTTCTGCCTGGACCCCTCCCCCCAGCCAACACACAGACATAGGCACATGGCCTTGTCTATGCTGGTGTGTTTTGTTGC